CTTTCTTTTTTTCTCTTTTTACTGTGCTTTCTCTGCCAACAAATAGGGAGAGTGATAGTTACCGAGAGGTTAGGGAGATAATCGATGAGGTGAGGGACATCTTCCAGAACATATCGGAAGTCGCCCGAGAAGATTTCTTTCTTGGAATGATCGTGATCGTCCATTGTCGACGACGAAGACGATCCACAACGGCGGTGATTAGAGGGTGTAGATTTGTCGAACCAGTTCCAGCAGATGCCGCTGAATCTGGGAGAGAAAAGGGAAAGGAAAGAGGAGGAGATTGAAGTAGAAGAAGCGTCCATGGAGATTTGAAAGAAGAAAAAAATGGAAGCTTGAAAACTTGAAAGATAGAGAACTAAGAGAACTCAATGGCTTTGTGATATAGTGATTTTGCCTCTCACTGATTATTTATAGGAATATGAATTTCAGAATTCTTGTAGGAGTGGGAAATCCATAAGTTGAGGGAGAGATTTGAATTTAGATAAAGATAATTTCGGTAGTATTGAAATATTTAATTTTTATTTAGATATATAAGTGAATAAGGAAAGGTTGAATAATAAGCATTTTTACTTTTATAAGAATGGTGGTTTCTTTTAATGTGATTAGTTTTTAAAAATAATTTACTTAAAGTTAAAAAAATATGTAAATTCATTTAAATTYGTATTTTGACATCAAGAAAAAATAAATAAATTTAAACAAGAGACTAAAAGAAATTTGTATTAATATTTGTAGGTATTTTAGGGATAAATTTGAATTCATAGGGCTTCCAATGAGGATTTAAAAGATATAGAATTATTAACTTTAAATGAAATAAAAAAGAGTTTTAAAAATAAATAAATAAAAAATAACACCTTTTTCTTTTTTGTTAAAATTTAAAAACGATGTATAGTAAAGAAATAAAAAAAATAAAAAATAAAAACTAGCTAAAGGCCACGAATTCTTTTAGCATTTAGGAATAAGACGATATTTTATTTTTTATTTTTTTAAAAAATAAGTCGATAATTACCTATTCGCTATTTCATTATCAATTTTTTGCATTAGTAATATGTTGATAGGATTCTGGCCGGTTCAAACATAATTTAGTGGATTAGACACAAATTTATCGTTAATGATTTAATCAATTATTGTTCGAAATCTGAACTAGTTATCTTTTAAAAAATAAAAAATATATATTTATGAAATGCAAATTATATATATATATATAAAAGTAAGTAAATCAATAATAGGATCGATGAGATGGGGTTTAAATTTTAGAAAGTTAATTATGCTTACTAATTGTGCTATCTTCAGATTGACCTTAAATATCTTACACAATACTTATTAATTTCAAAGTTTGAATTAATTTAGTGAAAAAATTTTATTTCTTAGAATTATTTTTCAAAATTTATAAACTAAAGTAGGTCGGAGTGTATGGGATGATCTTCCTAATCCTCCGAAGAACCTACAAAACAATGTTAGCACTCCGACGAGCAAGTTAGCTCTTATCAAACCTAACTCAATGAATTCAAATGGATTCACGTATCTTGTACTAGGGGCATGCATCTCTATTTATAGAGATTGTATCYGATAGGAGTTCCGACATAGCACTAACGGTTGCCCGATTGTCCATGAAACACGACGTGTTGTTAGATTTAGAGAATTTAATCAACATTTCCTTGGATGTACATCAGGTCAACTTGGATCATTTAGGTAGACTTATGATAAACGATGGTTAGTTGATCAACTCGTACCATCATTTCAACTTGAAAGGATTTTATTTTAAYAGATTATTACAATCAAAAGCAGGTTTTAACCCAAGTACCTTTACGATGTGGACACGCAACAAGATTCTTCAACTTCTGAGCCAGTGATTGCTCAACAGCATTATTCACAGTGCTACTTGTTTGAATTTTTTTCATATTCAACTTCCGAGTCAGCGATTGCTCGACAGCATTATTCATATTGTTGCTATTTTGAATTGCGTTTAGATTCAATTTCTGAGCCATGTTGTTGCTGTTGTCGCCGCCTTCTTTCTTGTTCCATTCCTCTAAGGCTATTTCTATGACACATGCCACATGGAAATGGTAGTCCCCGCACTTCGATATGTAGGATCATCCATTGTCGTCCCGTCTTTAACGCTCTTCCTCTTACACCASAGGCATTGCCCTCCAACCTTCTTCTAGAGATTGAACTCCACGTCTTCAATTTCACACTTTCTTTTGAGGTTTTTGCAACAGGGGTGGAGGTYCAAGTCCTGACTCCGGCAATGATACACAAATCCACATCAATGGACTTTCGATAAGCGTTGCACTTTCTCTTGCATTCATCGTGGCAGGCCTTTGGCGAGGTCCCGAGGAATTTGAATGTGAAAGAACTAGGGAAGAATTCGTGGGAAATTGGTAAGATTTGTGGAAACATACACTCTTTGTGAAGATCGAAATTGCATTTCTCGCATCGGTGTACCGTGTGGTCCGAACCCTTTCTCCTTRCACACATTGCATGTGTATGAGTTTAAGTAGTTTTTCAACTCCAATAAATGCTGCGAGTGGCTTAGATTGGGAATAAACATCTTCAAGAGCAACCAACAAATTGGGAGATCGAGGAAGAACAAAAGATAGATCTTGATCAGAAGGTAGATTCTATGATTGCTCTCTRTGTATGGAAATCATGGAAATATATAATGAGAAATGAGAGGTAAATGCATATGAATAGGTTAGATAGACACAAAAATGAAAYTTTTGAGATTTGTTATATACTTTTTAAAGTTTAAGAACTCAACGCATCAAATTGAAAAAGGTTCAGAGACTCCTTAGACATTTTATTTTTAAAATTTAAAGAGGTCATGAATTAAATAATAAAGAAAGACTTTGCACTTGCTTTGCACTTTCACTGGGCAATGCAAACTACACGATGGATTGAATTGTGTTATGTCGTGTTATTTGACATTTTTGCCCCTGGTCAAAGATGTATATTGCATATGAAACCAACAAGAACTTCCTGAAAAGCTATGGTTATGTATGGGATGATTTGGATAAAAAAAATAAATAAATAAAAAAGTGTGGACATTATTTTTTGTATTCCTTATTYGATAAGTCTCTTATATTACATGTTATTTTCCAATAAACTAACACTGGAGTTTGTTTGTTTGTAGTGTGGTGTTCAATTYATGGAAGATGAAGACTTTGGTTAYCTATATATTATAATTAAGCACCAGTGTGAATGTAAGCAATTTCGTTGAATTTGGTCTTTAATATTAAAATCAGATCGRAAATGTTTGGTTACACACTTYTAATTTTTTCAAGTGATTTTAAAAGCATTAATATTTTAAGTTCAAAGAGAGATTTTGACAAATATTTTAGAGAGACAAAAAAAAGTTATAAAGAAACAAAAATCTTAAAGARAAAAATTGATTGGKTGAGAGACAAATATTTTAGAGAGAAAAATAATTTAGAAATAGGTGGATGCTGAAAATTTAGAAAGAGCTTACAAAAATCTTAGAGCTAAAAAGTAAGAGAGAACCAATAAAACTAAAGATAAATTAATTAATTATAGATAGAAAAAAGTTTGAGAAAAAAGTAAATAATTTTTCTCAAAATTTAAGGCTGAGAGTAAGGTGAAACAAGCACACAAATTTAAAATTTAAAACAATAATCATTTTAGGATCTAATTTCTTATTAATATATATATTCTCTTTATGGCTTTTAAATATTTGAGTTAATATATCTTACACAATACCCATTCAATTTGCTGTTAAAAAAAAAAAGAAAAGAAAAAAAAGAAAAACCATTCATTTTGAAGTTTGAACGTGAAGTATCAAGTTTGAATTAATTTAATAGAAAAAATATCTCTTTTTAAAATTGTTTTTCTCAGGCTAAAGTGCCCAAATAAAAATCAAAGGGGAGGAAATTTTTGCTATCTAACCTGTTTCAATTCAAAAGTTTTAATCATAACAAAAACTGTTCGTTTTTTTTAATTAAATTTTAAGACCATAACTATTTTGTTTTTCGAATTTGAAAATTAGATTTATAAATACAACTTTACCCATGTTTTTCCGTTTTTTTCCTCCTTTTTAAAAATGTATAACAAAATCTAAACCAATTTTTTTGGAACTAAAAGGAGTTCAAAAAAAGTTAGTCCAAGACTCAATAAATAATAACAAATTTAGTCCAAGTTCAAAAAAATTACAAATATGACACAATATTTTATTTCAAGCTTAGACGTATATAGACATAATAGATTTAGGTGTATTAGTGATAGACAAATGTAATTAATAGATACAAATCCGCCGGAAAATTTATGGTAGTATGAGAGCATCTACTTCTTTGATATTGTTTTTATTTATACCACAAATTTTCATTATAAATAATTAATTAATGTTGGTGGACCWCACATCATTTTTAAATGATACTGACGTCGCGTACAATAAAGGACCGTAGTATCTATAATAYAGTTATAATATTTTCYTAGATAACATACAAAAATATAATCTTAAGAAGCGTCAAATTAAAATCTAAATTGTCATGTGAGAAAATTGAAACTTAAAATCAAAAGTTAAAATAAAACCTTTTTGAAAAAAAAGTTAAAATAAAACCAAATGTGGTTCACATGCGAACCCGCGGGAGATCATCTCCTCTCTAATGGAACTTGGCGGGAAATTACTGCGCTTATTTTGTAAAACCCTAATTCCTTTCTTCTGCAATTCGCAGACATTGAACACCTGACGACGAATTGTCCATACTCGGAAGCATTTTCTCATTTCGACCAGCTTTTCTCCCCGAAGCCCATCGCTCCTCTCCCGCTGCTTCCGCCTAAATCCCAATTTTTCCTTCTTCCTCTGCGCCGACAGTTCCAATTGTCGATCATCGCTATTACGAGTAAGCCTCTTTCGATTGTTTGCTCGATCGATTTTTGATTCTCAATCTCTGTAACTCTCTTCTATGCTCGTTTTCCCCCCTTTATTGATCTCCTGTTAGCCATTTAATTTAAAATTATTTGAATTGTAGGTTATCGTGAATCAAACTGGTGTAAGGCTACATGAAACTGTGAGTTGGCTCCTCTCTTTTTTTCTCAATTCAGAATTTCCTCGCTCTTGTTGTCTGTAGAATTTATGGCATTCTTCCCTTATCGTGATTCAAATGTTAGGAAGACCTGGTAGAGAATTGTTTTCCCTGTTCTCTGACTCAATCAAAATGATCATGATTGAGTCTATTAGCATCTAATTTGTAAGTTCAGAACCCCACAGCATAGCAGACACAGCTATAAATACATACACTAACACAGACATATGTATATAGATTAGAAACATAGAGATATTAAGAAAACCAACAAGAACAACCTAGAGGAGCTACATAATAAGCGCCGCCCAATCTTTTATGATCATAAGAAGGCTGTAATTAAGGCAGAGCTGTAAATAGGATGGAAGCTACTGCAGACTTTGAGCTTAATCTTATAGATTGAATGCAAGTCTACCAAACTCGAAAGTAACATTCAGTAAAATAGTCGTGTTCAATGAATTATGGTACTTGAGGCCTTCATTGATACAAATCAAAGCTCAATCATATTGTTATCTGAACAATAATCATTTCTAAATTCTGAAGCACTATAGATGGTGGATGATAGTTGTAGTGTATTAACATTGTTATGATATGAATATTAATAAAACTCTGAAATGGCAAGCAGAGGAAACATATATTAGTTCATAGAAGGTCATCACAACAAAATCACTGCATTTGTTTGTGATTACACGAACCATTTTATTCTAGGAATGATGATAGTTTTTGTCTTGCCCTCAATTTGTTCTCATCAATGTGAATTTCTGGCAGCCTATTGACTGGATTCGATCTTTCAAGTAAGAACTTTAATGAAAAAAACTCTTCTTGTTACTTTTATTGACCGCATGGCAAAAATGCTGACTAATTTATTACAGCACTTGAAATTTACAACAAGCCAAAGTTAAAAAGGGCAAAGGATACATATGGCTTTATTTTTCATCTCGGCATTCCGAAAAATTTGGCTGATGGATGGTTAGATATGATACCAAGCTCAAAGTGTAGAATAAATGAGTTCATCTCTGGGAGGTACAGTTGTTAAAGTTCGAAGAAATAAAGTAATTAGAGGTACGAGGATCAAGGAAATTGCAAATAAAATAGTGATCCCCAAATACTAGTTATGCAGGTTTAGTTGGCTTGTGTGAGTTAATGCCTTCACTTGATTATTTTAACATCTCTGCATTGTTCTCATTTATAGAACTACTTACCAAATGGATATGTGGATTTGTGCCATTCTGCTCACCACTGACATGTTTAGGGTGCAAGAAACTTGGTTGGTTGGTGGAAGACAATAGTCTTGCCCACATTCTATCGGTTATCACTACTTTGTTTTGTCGTTCAATTATTCGCTGCACATACAAAAAGCAACATAAGTTTGATCTACATTTAAGTATGTAACCATTTTTCATATGATTGATGAACGATTAACTTAAAAGTAATGGTAGGAGTAGAGGTTTATGGTATTAGGCTTACATGAAATGGTATGTAAGCATGTCGCCCATTCACCGGGCCTACTGTGAAGCCAGTGTATCCTGCCATCGCGCCATGAATGGCGCTTTGAGCAAGAAGGCTGCAGAAGATGTTGTCTGATGCAATACTAGGAACTGCACGGATCATATAAGTAGGATCTGCAAAGAAATAAAAATGTCAAGTAACTTGTTTATGTGTTTGGGGAAAAATTTTGCATGAAAGAGAAGGATAATCTATGTCTACCTATGTATTTGAGATCTATTGCAATCTTCCTCATTTCTTTGAAGTAGTCCTGGATCAATGGAAACTCTTAGTTAGAAATCTAAAAGTATTTGCTAGCTAATGTTGTATTTCATGCAAAGGGGAGAAGACGACGAACTTTGATACGCTGGGATATCCACAAACCGACATCTTGGTGTAGCTTATTTCCAGAAGCGTCTTGGTTATCCATGTTATGCATGCTTTTGGAAATAAGTTCTTGTCCTGCACCTTCTGCTATTACTATAACCATGTGCCCTTGTTCTTTTAGGCAATGCTCGATATATTCAAAAAGTCCACCCTCTCCTTCTAGATAAAAGGGTGACTCTGGTATCAAGCAGCAATCAACGTCTCTACTAGCTAGAGTCGCATACATTGCTATGAAACCTAGGTAATTCAAGATCAAGAACAAACAATTTAGTTAAGAAAAAGCATTTTGAGTTGCAAAATTCTCACTTGGTCATCCCATGAAGCTTACCACTATTGCGACCCATCAACTTGACTAAACCTATACAGTTCTCATTACTTTCTGATTCAACATGGGCTGCATTAATGGCACGTTGAGCTTCTTCAACAGCGGTATCGAACCCAAATGACTTGTCTATTACCTAAAAGAAGATAATCGTAATTTCAAATATGGGCTTAATGCATGCATCAAAATTCATGAATATTGAACAATCAAGTCAACTATATTACTGGAATATCGTTATCAATTGTCTTTGGAATTCCAGCTACTGCAACTTTGAGGCCACGCCTTCTAATTTCCTGCATAAGTGAGAATCATATACTTGAGATCCAAGCTCATCAATAGTTAGATATTCAACCATAGTTAGAACAACATGTATTACCTCGAAAATTGCAGCAGCCCCTTTCTGAGTTCCATCCCCTCCAAGTATATAAACCTGAAAATCAAAATGCAAAGCTTAAGAGACTGTGAACCAATGTAAAAGTTTCAAGTTTGGATCAAAAAATCTTTAAATTGTTGGTGACTTAAGAGACCTGATTGATTCCCCTGTGCTGGATGCTATCAACAATCTTGGTGGTATTGTGACCACCTCTTGATGTCCCAAGAATTGTGCCACCACGTTTATGGATGTTGTTCACAGACTTTGGTGTTAATGAAATTGTATTCCTAGCATAGAACCCTTTATACCCTCCCTATGTATTAGGGTGAAATAGTTGACCTTATTAGTGATGATGYCGATGTGAACAAGATTTAATAGTGTGATTAAGGATAGTCAAGAGTATGCAATCACCTCGATYCCAACAACTTTGTGGACACCATACATGTGGTATAACCCACATACTATTTCTCTGATCACTGTATTAAGGCCCGGACACAAACCACCACAAGTTACTATACATGCATGAACTTCGTCAGATTCAAAAAATACCTGAATGTCATGGACGTTGGTTATGATTCAAAAGAAACAGAATGGGGATGGGGATGGGGAAGATATTGTTGCAAAAGAAAGAAAACAATCATGTAATAACCTTTTGACGAGGTCCAGTGCGTCGAAAATGTGTCCCTCTTGGGGTGTTCTTATGAACAACAACCTGTTTTGAACAAAATCCTACAAAATTCAGAACGATTCCATCTAGAACTTTGGAGTTCAAACATAGATTACTTACACTTTGAGCAACGGCATCATCCACATCGACAAAATATTGCCTGATGAAACCACATAATTCCCATTAGTTTGTAGATGATTATCATTCCCAAACAAGRGCCAAGTATGGTGTATTAACCAATTAACACTAACTTAAAAGGAACATACTTAACCACAGAATAAGCAGGATTATCTTGTAAAGGATTTGGATATGCCTGTAAACAAACACATAAAGTTTCATTCTACATGTCCTTGGAAATAAGTAATTAAAAAATTACAAGAGGGAAGGAAGAGGAAAACAAGAAAGTATATTCAAATTCTTAGCCAACTTAGATATTACTCCATTTAAATTTTGGCTCTCTATTCTCATATATATATATACTCTATGACTTAGATTCAAATGCCTTATAAGTCTAAGTTCAACTCAAGTCTTTCTTGGGGATAAATGATAAAATACCTATTATCTTCTTTGAAGATAAATGTTCAACCTTCTCCGAATCGAATTTTGTAATATTCCTCTAAAAGGATGTTATAATTGGTAATAATATAAAACTCTTTAACTTTTTTGACCAASATCCTGAGGATTTAATATAGGGTAAAAATAAAACTCCAACTAGGACAATTAGTTTAAATCAGTTAATTACATGCATAGTAAAGGATAAAATCAGACAAGCAGAAACTTTTACTAACCCTGCTCTGAAGTCTTGTATATAAGCCAAAAAACTTTCTTCCATCGCCTCTCTTTTTCTTTCCCACACTTCCTCAGCAACCAAACACACAAAAGATAGATAGATAGAGAGAGAGATTTACAAACTTACAGGGAGGTCAGGGAGATAATCAGTCAAGTGAGGAACATCTTCCAGAACATAACGAAAGTCGCCGGGAGCATCTCTACCGTTATGATCCATTGCCGATGACGGAGATGATTCGCCGTTCTGAAAGCGGCGGTGGTGATCGGGGCCCGGAGCAGAGAAATTGAAGTCGAAGGAAGTGGAGGAAGAAGAGAAGCTAGAAACGGAAGAATCCATGGAAGTTGCAGGTGGTTGAAGAGGAAGGAAGAAGAGATGGCATATTTGAAAACCAACCACGGTGGTGGGGCTGATCGGCGGCGACGTCAGGTGGTGGCGACTTATGGGAAGAACGGATCAATTGAATTTGAAAATAAGTAAATAAAAAAGTATTATTGTGGCTTGTGGAAGTTTGGCGAGCAAGAAAATGATCAAAAAGAAGAAGAAAAGTCAGAAATGGATTGAAAAGGAATATTCTTGAATCTCCTCCCCATGGCTCGTGCAGCCTGTGATTTAGCCACCCACTCTTCACGGTTTTAGCAGGAGGAAGAAGAGGAAGAGAAGAGATGGATGGGTTGACTTAACAACCTCCTTAAAGATTGGAGGTTGGAAAAAAATAAATAGTCACGATTAATATAATTTTGGAATATAGCTAGCTATTTGGAAGAGTTTTAATAGMCCTTTCTGAAAAACTTCATAGAGGATGTTATACTCCYTTAACATTGTGGTTAGATTCTATGCATTACACTTATTACTAGAATTTATTATTTCTATTCTAATAAAAAGTTATATTTGTAGTTGCTTTTATTAAAAAGAAAAAATATTGTAAATATTCTAGAAATGAATCTCTTAGCTCAAATTTTTTAAAGCATTATGCCAAGTGATACTCTGAGAAAACTATATTTTAATAAGTGACATCAAAAGGCATGCTTGTTCTTTGGTCCTGTTGAAGCAATGACAAAGAATTGAGAGCGTGAACTCTCTTGTCATACAATACAACAGGCTTCCATATTGTAATTCTTTTTCTTTTCCTCTTTCTTCTTTAAAAGAATCTCTAAAATACAAAATGATACATATATTTCAACATATGTGAATATGTCCAAATATATTTCCAAAAATAATTTATTTGATAACATGGAAAGGATAACAAAGGACAATTTAAGGTAGATTTGGAACGCTAAATAAAGCTGCAAGAATGTATATTTTTGTAGAAGGTAAAATTAGTAAAATCCCAAGGGAGAAGCATAACAGCCATAATGAATATTGATTCTCATTCAGGACCAAGTTTGCTCGAGTGGGAATAACGAAGTTTTCATCCATATTGAATAAAGCAGAAAATTTGAATTTGTACATCTCAACTTCATCCTTCATGATTCCCATGATTGAGAGTGTTAATTTGAAAAGAAAATGGACTTGACGGTTGCTTAGTTGGGAGTATATTATTTTGGCTCCTAAGGATAATTCTTATCTTAGTGAAGGATTCAAGTTTGATGAAGAAGCTTCAATATTCTAGTTTTTACATGTGATTCCATGCACTGGTATAACTAAATATATGCCTGTATATTTATATTCGCGGATTGAGACATCTCTTTCGGTGCCACTCACTTGGATAATTAAGGGTTCATTCGATAACTATTTTGTTTTTTATTTTTAGTTTTTGTTTTTAATTTTTGAAAACAATGGTGTTTGATAAACCATTCAACTTCATGTTTTTTTTTTCAAAAACGATTTCGGAATTCTATGTAAATTTCAAAAAAAAAATAGTTGTCAAAAATAAGTTTATACTTTTCAAAATCTCATTTTTCTTCTAATAATCAACTTTTTTTCCACATATTTATTTCTAACAAATTTGTTTCTCACTCTAAAAAATTTTTCTTCATAAATATCTCTCTAAAAATTTATTTCTCTCTCTCTAGTATTTTAATATTTGTAATATTTATCATTATTTCTATATCTCCAAGTTTTTTATCTCTCCGTAWTTTTATTTTTTATTTTTTCTTCTAACACATTACTTTCATTTATCTTTCTAAAAAATATTTTTCTAAACTTTTCTCGACCTACAATTACTTTCCTTTCTCCTCCTAACTTATTTTTCTGTTCTTTTCTCATTTAATTTCGAATATTTTTTTTATCTCTAAATTTTTTCTTACTATAATTTTTAATTTTTTCTTATAATTTCTTTTTTTTCTTTTAACATATCTTTTCTTCTCAATTTTACTCTTCCTCTCTAAAATTTTTCTCTTTTTATCTTTAACTTTTCTTTCACTAATTATTTTTTTTAAAATCTTTTTCTTTATGACTCAAAAATGTCTCTTTCAAAAGTTTATTTTCATCTCTATAGACTTATATTTTCATGTCTCTAGAGAAGACAAAAGTTCCCAAAAGGTTGGATCCCCGCTCCAAGAATAAGCAATGCATGTCCCGATCCGATCCTTGATTTCATTTTTTAAATAATTAATATATATTTTATTGACATATTTACTAAATTATGAATAAAATATTAAATATTTTATTAAAGCTAATTATTTGTACTAGTAAATAATAATTCTAAAAATAATTAATATATGTTTATTGCACTTTTTATCTTTAAAATTCTAAAAATAATTATAAAACTAGTAAATTTCCCGCGAATATCCCCGTCCCCATATAAGGATTCTTTAACTTGAATCTCGATTCCCGAACCAGAGAACAAAGTGGAGATGGGACTAAAATTTTTCACAAGCACGAGAATGGAAGATGACATCTTCACTCTCGCCTAACACCATTGACATTCCTACTTAAAAAAAATTTTGAGTACATGTGGGGTGGGAATTGAACTCACAACTTTTTTATTGGAGATATATGCTAATTAGTTCAATTACCATGCTATGCTTGCTTTGATGAAAATTAAAAGTAAAAAAATAAAAAAACTATAGAGATTAGAACATCTGTGTTTTTGCATGTGCACAATAATAGGTTTCATGTACTTCTAATGGGAAGATGATTGGACTGATGCGACAAATCTGAGTTATAAGATTGCGACTATAGAGTCATTGTATAACGTGATCAGATGAATTGACATCGTGACCTTAACAAGTATAACGAGTATATATAGTCTAATATTGATGTGTTGATAATAAGATATCAAACTCAATTGCACGAATGGTCATTCAAAAATCCTATTGATCCATAAACACTAAGACATCTTACTTCCACAATTTTGTTATGCTATATGAGTAAAAAAAAAAGTTTAAAATACTATTTTGACTCATGTACGTTGTTATTTTGATTCTTGTACTCCAAAAATATTTATCTTAGTCTCTGTGCTTTAACTTTGGTTTATTTTAGTATTTGCACTCTCAAAATGTTTCGTGATGGCCTCTATATTTTTAAAAAGTGATCACTTTGGTCTTTTAATTTTATTTGTAATCTTGTTTTTTCTATCACAATTTCAACACTATGCTCAATATATTTTTTTGAAATGTAACCGTGACTTTATATTAATGGATTTTCGTCATGTTTATAATTTGTGTTAAAATTTTACAAATAGTAACCAAAATAGTTAATTTTGAAAGTAGAGGAACCAAAATAATATTTTGAAAGTACAGGACTAAAATGAACCAATGTTGAAATCATAGATAGACCAAAATTAACATTTTAAAAACATAGGGACTAAATCAAACCAAAACTAAAAGTACAAGTATCAAAATAGTATTTTAACCAAAAAAAATCAATCAATTTCATTTGTAAATATGGTTTTGGGCAAATTTATTTAATATCCACGTTTGCTTTTATGAGCCAAACTTACATATAGTTGAAAATTGAAGAACCAAAACTTTTTTCATTTTTTTTAAGTGAGTTCACACATATATATACACTAGCGTGTTTTGCAAGTTGTAACTTAATTTATTTAATCTAAGTGAATATTATTTATGYCTGAGACTATTTTCTTGAAGCATATTTGTCTCTCGATCAAACTAATAATTATTTATTAAAATACAATATTATATAATTGCTAGATAACACTACTTTATAATTAAAAAAAAAACTTATTCTCTTATGCCCTTTAAAAGGAATGGAAAAGAGAAAGAAAAAACAAAATTATGAGGTTATGGAAAAGTTTTTTTTTTTTTTGTCTTCTTTTGTTTATAAAGAGATGAAAGTTGTTGATATGGTTGTATAAAATGGGGAAATTACGTAACTATTAAAATTATAAAATTTTTGAATTTTCATTCTTAATAATTATAATTAAAGATAAGGTGAAATTATTTTTTAAATATAATTTTGATGTAAAGGATTTTAAAAATGGACAAAATTTTCCTATATATTATAATTAAAGATAAAGAATTAATTTTAATAATAAATTGACAAAAAAATTTATATTCATAATTTTCACATTTTATCATTTCACTTTTATGTAATAATTAGTTTTAATATATTTTTTAAAAATTACAGTATTTTAGTAGTAGAATAATGTTATAATCTATTTTTTTTAAATAATATTATAATGTGTAATTAGAGATAAAATCATAAATTTTAGAATTAATTTTAGAAATAATTTGACAAAAATTTTATATTTAGACTTTTAACATTCATTTAATTTTAAATTATATTTCAACTTTGATTTAAAATTTGTTTAATTATTAATAAAAGTAAAAATATAATAAAAAATTATAAATGGTATAAGTCAATATTTTGAATGAAGAGCAGTGAGATGTTTATTTTGTGATAACAATTTTCCGATGCATCCAATTATTACTTTCAATATAGTTTTTATATTTTTACTTTTTTAAACATTGTTTATCTATTAAAATATTATAATGTTTCAAAATCTATTATTAATTATAATTAGAGATAAAGTTGTACATTTTTATAATTTGTGACTTTATTAAAAGTGAAAAATCATAAATTTTAAAAGTCAATGTTCTCTAATAAATAATATAGATAGATTTATTTGGTAATGACAAATTTATCAATGCATCTAATTATTAATTTTAATATGTTTTTACATTTTTATTTCTTTAAAATTTGGTTCAATTATTAATTATAATTAGAGATAAAATTGTAGATTTTAAAATTAATTTTTAAGAATAAATTATAAAATGTATATTCAAAATTTTCACATTATTTTTAATGTTAATTTCATGAATGTACTTAAATTATTAGTTTCAATGTGTGTCCTTTTATTTTAAAATTTATTTAATTGCTATAAGTAAAAAATTATAAATTATAATTTTGGAAGTAAATATTTTGAAGGATGAACATAGAGAAGTTTATTTGGTTAAAAAAAACTAATTTCATTTTTATTAAAAAATTGGATTATTAATATTCTCTAATAAAATCTTCAATAAACAAAATTTTTAATATATAAATATGATGAATGATATTCCCTAATAAATTATATGCATATATATTTACCTTTTACCAATGTTCAAGACTGCTAAACAACACTGCTCTAAAATATATGGATGTCATCTACTGCACTAATTAAGAAATCATCATAGAGAAACGAAATCGTGATACGACACGTAAAAATAATAACAAGCAAAAAAAGGTAGAAGAAGAAGAAGGAAAAAAATAAACATCAAATTATGTTGGAAATAGATGGAAGAGAGATCTTTTATAGTTGTAAAAGAAGGAGGTTGTAAAACTTTTGAGATTCTAGGAACTTCCAATATTCAGTAATTAAACACTACTAAACAGGTAAACTTTTCCTATTCTAACATTTTAAATACAAAAATCAAATGAATTCTCATAGAATTTCAAAAGATAAATAAATTAAGTAGGTTTGATTAATCTTAACAGCATCTAAACACAAGTGCTAAAAAAAAGAAAAAATCAAAGCAAAAGTAATTAATTTTAGTTGCCGCAACCCACACCCAATACAGACATATATGGTATTTGATAAAATAGGAAGATTTTAGATGTCCGACATCTTCAGATAACCACGTTTGTTTCATAGGAAAATTTATAAAGATATTTGGGAAAATTTAAAAGTGGATATCCTAAACACGGGAATCTTGGAAACCCGTATTTCAGAAGGGCATCCAAAACTCGTAAGATGCCTCCCGTATGGGCATCTTAGGATACCCGGACATCTCAACATCTCCGAGTATCTTACATTCTCACAAAATAAACGTGGGAATCCAGATGCCCGTCCAACGGAAATCTCGGATTCTCACAAAACAAACGACCCCTAAGAGTTTCGATCCTTCATCCCCAATTGTTGTACTAAAAAAATTTATTACTATTATTATTTTGGTAGACATTATAGTACATATTTAGCCCGCTTTTATGGTAAATATTAGTGTTTAATTAGGATCAAAATGAGCATAGCTTAGTGGTAATTGAAATATATTTTCAATTAAGAGGTGGTGTGTTCGATTCTCATTCCTACGTCTTGTACTTAAAAAAGACTAGTGTTTTATTAGTAAATGCTAATACCAACAGAAACGACATCGTTTGAATCTTGTCCATCTTTTAGTTTACTCAAGACATTATGAGGTGAAAAAATTAGGAAAAGCAAAAAACCTAGATATTTACCGTACGAAATTTTACTGCAGATCTCTTGCTCCAAAAACAAAACCAAGGCATTTCTCCTTCAACCGCCCCCGTCGTAGCCACCATTGGGGTTTCTCTGAAAAACGAAACTCGAGGGAAGAAAAAACCAAGGCGACCCTCAAGCTTTTCTAGGGTTCACTGCAACTAAGCTCCACCATGTATAGAATCGCCGGTTCACGACTCAGGTCGCTCAAGGTCAGTCCAAACCTTCCTTTCGCGCCCCATCTTTCTGATTTCGAAGATTTTTTTCCTAACTATATGGAAGAAAATTGATGCTGGTCGAAGAAAATTTCGGCGTCGTAGATCTGGATATGGGTTTTGTACGATGATTGAAAGCTTCGACAACCCTTTCGGATCCTGTATTGGTTGGATTGTTTTCAGATGCTTAGAATGTATAGTGCTTAGTTTGCATCCACTCGGCTGTTGGATATGGGAAATCATTTCAATTTCTTGATTCTGGATTGATTGATAATTATCTGACTAACCGGTGTTATCAATTTAGTAATGGGTGTGTAACTTTTGACATGGGATGGTTGTTCGTGTGGAAGGAGTAGGGGGATACTGCCTCTTTATCCTAGTTGAAACTAGATTTATGGCTTCAATTTGTTCCTGTATTTACTCATTGTGCATATCTCACATGAACGTGTACTGGAACTGCTGCTTACCATTGTTTTTTAACAACTTTCAAGAGATTGATAATGCTCATGGAAATGAACTTTTTAAGCAATAATATTAAATTTTTAGAAAAATTCATTTACGGTGTTTTATTTTGTAATGGAATTAGAACCATGCGGCCAACTTGGGGGCCTCTAGATTTGCAACATCCAGCGCAGTTGCTGCAAGACCAACATCGGGGGGCTTTTTTAGCTGGCTCACTGGAGAACGTTCAAGCTCTCTTCCCCCACTGGAAATGCCTCTATCTGGCATTACCCTCCCACCGCCATTGCCTGATTATGTCGAACCAAGCAAGACCAAGATTACCGCTCTTCCTAATGGTGTCAGAATTGCTTCGGAAACCTCTTCGGTATGTATGGAGCTTGAATGACATCTAGACTCTTTTTTTTAATGGCATCTAGACTCTTCTTGTTTTAAATTTAATAATGAACTTATTTATTTACCAAACTGACAAGTTTTAGACTGGTTGGTTAACCAGAATCCTGCAGCCTCTGTGGGGATATATCTTGATTGTGGTTCCATATATGAGACCCCATTGTCTTCCGGAGCCTCACATTTGTTAGAAAGGTTGGCCTTCAAGAGTACCACAAATCGTAGCCATTTGCGGATTGTTAGGGAAGTAGAAGCTATTGGTGGTAACACAGGTGCCTCAGCCTCTCGGGAGCAAATGGGATACACTCTTGATGCTTTAAAAACATATGTACCGGAAATGGTGGAATTGCTAGTAGACTGTGTCAGGAACCCTGCATACTTGGATTGGGAAATTAATGAAGAGGTAATCATTCATCTAGTTACCATTATAGAAGTTTGTCCGTCTGATAACTGAATATGAAAAATGATATTTTGGGCTTTCGTGTCCATTGCCAATATTTTGATTCCATATGTCCATACAGCTGCAAAAGATGAGAGCAGAACTTGGAGAACTTTCAAATAACCCCCAGGGCTTGCTTCTTGAGGCAATTCATTCTGCTGGGTATTCTGGTGCACTTGCAAATCCTCTCGTGGCCCCAGAGTTTGCGTTAAGCAGATTGGATGGCACCATTTTGGAGGAATTTATTGCTGTGAGACCTTTCATTCTTTTATGACTACTCTTCCTGTTTTTCCTTTCTTTTTCTCCATAGAGGAAGGCATACAACCTACTTTTCCCCCATATATCTTCTTAGCCTCCCCACATATGATAATTTCATTTCTTTGTTCCCTCTGTTTTCCTGTATTTTAATTTAAACTATATGATATTCCACCACTTTTGGATTTCAGGAGAACTATACTGCCCCTAGAATTGTACTTGCAGCATCTGGGGTTGAACATGAGGAGCTTTTATCCATTGCAGAACCTCTTCTATCTGACCTACCAAAAGTACCTAGCTCGAAAGCGCCAGAATCTGCCTATGTTGGAGGGGATTATCGTCGTCAATCTGACTCTGGGGTGTGTATAAACTATAACTGTATTGTAGATTATTCATTCACAATAGCCCTCAAAACCATGATTCAAAACATTGATGGAGGTATAGTGGATGTAACTTGGTTGAGTTATATACTTAAACCCATCTAATTGGCCAGCCATTTGAAAATAACATACGGTAGAAAAGGAGGAAATACCAAAGGATTGAATTTTACTTAACCAAGACAAGTAATTTGGCCTTTGATTCCCGTGAATGGCTGAGTTAATGATAATGTGATCAATATACTATAACTTCACTGATGTACTGTTTCCCATTGCTCGATTTTTATATATTCACGTAGGCTTTTCATTTTAGCAGAGCACACATTTTGCCCTTGCTTTTGAGGTTCCTGGTGGTTGGCTTAAGGAGAAAGATGCCATCGTTTTGACTGTTCTTCAGGTGCCTCGTTTTATTACTTTTTGGTCTCGTAAAGATATTCAATTTGTCTTGTTGGATTGTTTTAAAAAATGGAGGAGAATGGAAACGTGTTCGAGTACTCATATTAGGGGGGAAAAACATGGTTAAATGATTTCTTGTTTGATAAGTTCTATTAACATCTCTCAGTCCTGCAGATGCTAATGGGAGGCGGTGGTTCATTTTCTGCTGGGGGTCCTGGTAAAGGAATGCACTCAAGGCTATGTAAGTATCACCTAGGTTTTCAGTTTAACGATTAGATTTTATCAACCTTTTCCTTTCCCTTTTTATCCATGGTAATTCGTTCTCTTTGCTAGTTTTTATCTATATGAGTTCCTTTATTCACTCCTATATCTGTTGTTATTTGCTGCTGTAAAGTCTTTTCTTTTGATTTTGGATTCAAAACAGATCTCCGTGTCTTGAATGAGTACCAACAGATTCAGTCTTTTTCTGCATTTAACAGCATCTTCAATAACACGGGACTATTTGGCATTTATGGAAGCACTGTAAGGCACAATCTTACAATTGATTTTTTATATTATTAATGTACTAATGCTGCCAGTTCGATGGTTAATTAACCAGAAGAAGGGGGAGAGGGAAACAAGGTTACGTGTTAGCTGCAAATTATATGGGGAGCTATGATAGGGACCAAATAATTGGAATATATTAAAAAGATAGAAAAATTGAAGAACTACAATAATTCTCAAGTATTCTTATTCAAGCCTAAAGCCACTGCACAATAAACGTACCTCCATCCTTTTCTCCCGACTCTATTTTTAACAAATTCTGCTAATTGCTAGTATACCCTTATTGTTCTATTAATATGCCTAATTAGCCAAAGGCATTCCCGTCAAGCTACTGCATGATTTTAGCTCGCCTTTGTTTTAATTTTTCATGTTATGTTCTTACCTATCATAACTACAATTGTGAATATCCAATTTGTGGATGCAGAGTTCTGACTTCGTAGCCAAAGCAGTTGATATTGCTGCTTCAGAACTAATCTCAATTGCAACTCCTGGGCAAGGTTTGCAGATTTTTGTTTTGTGTTCGGGTTCTTTTTAATTACTCTGTTTATATATCTTGCTCCCTGTTTTTCGTGGCAGTTTCCGAGGTGCAGCTTAACCGCGCCAAAGAGTCTACAAAATCTGCAGTTTTAATGAATCTAGAATCTAGGGTACACTCTCTCTTCCTCTCACACGCACATATCATTTTTTCTTTGCCATGGGCTGTTATTCTCTTTGCTTTTCTCTTCCATGCCTGATGTAGCAGAACCTTTCATTAAAAGAGAGTAAAACAGAGACCAAAGTAAGTTGACACTTGATTATCCTGCAGATGATTGTGTCCGAGGATATCGGGAGGCAGATTTTGACATACGGAGAGAGGTATCTTTTATGATCGAACTAGCTCTACTACCGAGCACGTCTTTCTTATAATCCATTTTCATATTTCCAATGTTATTGGATTTCTCTGCAGTTTTAAGTTATGGGTCGTCATGTTTTTCAATATTGCAGGAAGCCTGTAGAGCACTTCATAAAGGCTGTAGATTCAATCACTTTGAACGATATTACTAACATTTCCCAGAAAGTTTTATCATCTCCTTTAACAATGGCATCCTACGGTGACGGTAATCTTCAACTTCTTCATCTTTTCCATCGAATTAACTAATTTCGATACAATCATATCTTTAAGACTGACATCTAGAAACTTCATCATTGGCATTGCAGTTATTAATGTCCCGACGTACGAGTCTGTTAACAGCAAGTTCCACCGAAAATGAGATACCTGTGCATTTTCAAGCTCAGCATTTATCTGATACTTGTGTTCTTGTTGCTCTTCGCCGGGAAGCAATTGCAGGCTTTGTACCACCATTTGCAATAAAATTTTTGAATGAAGTCTTTTATCAGATGATGTAAAATTATCTGTTTGTTTCCAATTCATTCAGTTGCTCCCTCTGAATTGTGGAGGAGTTTTTGACCTATTTATTTGAATATTAGCATGGGCCTTTTTTTCCCTTCACATCTCTCACATCTTCTCCGTATTCTTCTCTTTACAATATTGGCCTGGCAGCTTAGGGAACAATATTTTCAAGGGCAACTTAAAAAGTTTCTTTTCCTTTCAAAAAATTTGTTACAAAAATCGTCTTAGATCGATAAAAAGAAATATTAGTAAAATTTACGTGCTTATGGTATATAATATAAAATAATTTCATTCTTAAATATTTTTATTTTGTTCAATAAATATGAAGTGAGAGAATCAACCTTTAGGTTTAAGAAAAGTAATAAGGGTTCGGATTGATAATTATTAAGTACTATTTAGGCGTATAGAAGTAACAATCATTTGGATCTTTTCGAGTGGTGGTTTCTAAATGCTCTTGACTTTCTTTGTACCCTTACCTCTTTTATTATCAAATGGTCAGACTCGTTTTTTTCAAAATTTATATATAATTTTGAGAGTGTTGATAAATAAAAAAATAAAAACATAGTTAGTTGCGAAATAATTATATTTCTTAAGAAAGTTGAAAACAAGAAATAAAAAAAATGAGAACGTTATCAAACGAACCTTTAGAAGTAATCTACTTTATTTCATTCTTAGTCGATGAAGGTAATCTACCGTCTTAGATGACTTTGATTCAATTTAGAATTGGATGTTCAAATTTTCACCATTTTTCTACTATTAATTGTTATTTTTAGAAAAACAAAAATTGAGAAATGGGTGAGCTTTTAATTTTGATTCGGACGGCTCTAAAATGGATGATTAAAGTAACTTTATGAAATTAAAAGCAGGAAGGGCAAATGAAGAGCATCAGATGGTGTTGATTGCACGTGGCAAAAGGCAAGAGGGGATGGTGGATACAGCGAATCAGAGCCCCATCTGCCACGTGCGTTGTGGTCCCACTCCGAACGAGTCTTGTGGATTAAAAAGAAGCTCGCAAAAGTGAACGGCACTCGTTCAATCAGCTCCAAATCAACGGCTCAGAAATACATCTGGGACCACCATACCTCAATCATTACCGGCCGGTTCCCCAACAAATGTCCATTTCTCCTTCCGCCAACACTATATATACCCATCCATCTTCAATGCAAGAAACCAAAACCCAAAGAAAAACCAAAAAAAAACCCCAAAAAGAAGAAAAAAAAAAACTACAAAATTGGAGCGAATTTGATCGATTCATACTCGGTGAAGATCGAAAATGTCGTGGCAATCTTACATTGATGATCAGTTGATGTATGAGGTCGACGGCCAACATCTCAAAGCCGCTGCCATTGTCGGCAACGACGGTACTGTTTGGGCCCAGAGCGCCGACTTCCCCAAGGTTTTCCCCTGTTTTTTCCTGATTCAATTACGTTCTCAAATGGAGCATTTCTTCGGATCTTTAGTTTTTTTTCTTTTTTTTTCCCTCTGCTATTGCTGTTGTTGTTCTTCTTGCATTTTAGTTCTCGGAGGCGTACGTTATGATCGGAAAGGCTCCACGATTTCTTGTTTCGGATATAATGAGCGATGTATTTGCCGAAAATCGATAATCTACATTGCTTATTGTGATCTGTTGAGATCTGAGGGTTATGAACTTTTAGTTATTAGATCTTTCAATTGCTGTGATGAGATTAATTATTGCAAATTTCTATTGTTTTGTTCTTGCATCTTGATACAATGAACGGAAATTAAAACGTCTGTGGGAAGGAATTTGAGCAATACATTTCGATGTTGAGAATGGAAATTTTGTTTTCACAGTCACTTATTTTATTGGTCAAATTATTCTGTTAGCCTATAATAGTGTCCGGGATGAATAAATATTTGTCTTCTTTCGGCGGTTGTTGTAGTTCAAGCCAGAAGAGGTTAATGCCATTATGAAGGATTTTGATGAGCCTGGATCCCTTGCCCCGACTGGGTTACACCTTGGTGGAGCGAAGTACATGGTTATCCAGGGGGAATCTGGAGCTGTTATTCGTGGAAAGAAGGTACATTTTGTGGCTCAATATCCTGACATGATTCTCTTTGATGTTGCGTTACGATTGATAATCGATCATCAATGTTTTTGATACTATTTTCTGGTTACTCTAATTCAGATAATCTATAGATCTGACGTTTAGGATTGGTTGTTCTTTGAATATGAAGATTATTAAATCAAAATGCACACTCTGCTCTTTTGGGCATTTCTTTTCCTTACGAGAGTATTGAATAAATTATTTTCTATGATCGAGAGAATAAACCTACAATTTGTGGGGCAAAATATTCTCTGCTTGCCACCAAGGAATGTGACAGATATTGGACTTATTAAACATGCATATTTGCACAGCCTCAAAGATTCATTGTTGTTTTTCCTATGATTCAAAATTTTTCTTGCTGAATTATTCAACAACTTTTCAATCTAAAGCAGTTCCTAGGAAATTTCCCACCATTCATGGTCTGTTCTATGAAATTTCCAATTATCACAATTCATACCGATCACTACAGTCAACTTATTAAACAAAAAATGAAGCAAATGAAATTCAACCCTCCTAGGAGTTGCAGTATGCCAGTACTGTGTTAATTTAATCTAATCTTTGATCTTATTTGATGATCCATTTGACAGGGCACTTCTGGGATCACTGTAAAGAAAACAACCCAGGCACTCATTTTTGGTTTATATGATGAACCTATGACTCCAGGACAATGCAACATGATCGTTGAGAAGTTGGGAGATTACCTGATTGATCAAGGCCTGTAATCTTTTTTTTTTTTTTTTTTCTATACATAATTTGGGATTTTGAGCCTTTTTATGGCTGTGAACTGAGAGTTACAGAAAATAATAGTGTGAAGAATCAGGATGAAAAGCAAGAGTGTGGTGATTTTGGTCGCTGATTTCTACCCATTCTATGTATTTTGGCTTATTTTTGTGCATTGATGAAAAACACTACTTCTTCCAGTATCAGTTTTTTCAAAGCATGAGCTTGTACGTATTGTATTGTTGTTGTTGTTGGTAATTAAGTTGGTTTTAATATAAATATTGATTTTTGTGAACCCTTAATTATAGTTGAGTTAAAGTAACCTACTCATATGATAAACATTCTTGCCTTTCACTACCGTGATTATCAGATAATATGGTTTAAAAAATATGTTTTTTTTTCGTTCTCATGTCTTCCCCGTTGTTTTTTCCTTTCTCGTTTTTTGTTTTTAAATAATAAGCGACGGATAATTATGACTCATTTGGTAACATGATCAACACCGAAGAAACATATAGTTGCAAAATAACGAGACTTGTTGTTCCTTCGTTTCTAATTTTTCTAAAACATAGATAATAAATATATTAAAAAATAAATAAATGGCATAAAAATTTGAATTTTAGTTCAAAATTTCATATAGAACCTTTATTTTTTAAATAATTATAAATAGTTACAAACATGTTAGATAATGATAAAGAAATACTAAACAGGCTCCTGGCAGTCACTTTATACTAATTAGATCAAATTTGTTATTTATTAAAAGATAAATTAACATTTTGTTCCATTAGTTCAAAAAATAACATTTAACTTGCTCACATTCTCTCATGAATACTCAAATTGAATTGTTTTATTTTTTAAGAATAATGTGTGATAAGTGGATGAATATTTCTTATAAGACAATTTATATTAAGTTTTTAAAACAATTGTAAATAATATGATGGAAGTTAAGGGGAAAATTCATTAGAAATTTACATCAAACATTCCAATATCAAAAATAGAAAGAAATCTATATTGTGATGACTTAAAATACGATTAAGAACCTATCTACATCTTATCATAGGTTGAATCAAGAAAATATTAATTTTTTTCTCTTTTTTTTTTAATTATTCGATACAAGACAACACTCAAGCTCTTTACAAATAAGCTAACACCCTAAGGTACAAATATTATTTTCTTTTAATGGAATATAGTTACAGTACCTTCCTTAAATAGAAGGTTAAAAAAAGTAATCCTGATAATTTTACAAATAATTATAAATAATACAAAAAGAAAAGAAAATAGAAAGAAGTTTTCGTTTTGTATTTCTAATATGATCCCATCAACGAGTTCAAATCTCAATCCTAACATAATATGCTAAAAAAATGATTGATTTTCATAGGGCCGAATTTCAAAAATGAAAAATTTATCTAAAGCTTTTATGGAAGAGTTATCTTCATCACTAAAATAAATGGTTAAAGTAATATATTGAATTAAAAAAAATTTTGGGGGGTTTTGGGGGCATTTCAAGACAAATTTTTGTACAATTTTTATTTACAAGAGCTGTTTTCAACTGTAATTAATTTTTGTTCGATATTATGATTCCAATAATTATATTTTTTTATTTTTTTACATAAAAAATTATTTTATTTTTGATAACCGATTCCAATAACTATTGAACATATGTTAATAAAAAATTAATAACATCAAATTGACACACCATTAATTTGAATATTTAAAGTAAACATTAATATCAATATTTACTTATTCTTTTTTCTCAAAAAAAAATATTTACTTATTCTAAAAAAATGTCAATATTTACTTTTCATTAAAAGAAAAAAAAATGTCGGCCATAAAAACTAAATAAATATGTGAATATTTACTTGCTAAAAAAGATGTCAATAATTACTTAACCCGCCGTAGCGCACCGTTTTGCCCTATGGCAATTTCGTAATTATGGATCAATTCACGAAACCCTAGCCGCGGCTCTCCCCCTTCATAAGCACTGCTACCGTGAAGGTTCCAAACGTTCTCGTCACTGAGAAGTTCCTTCGTTTCTCTGCCGTCGGCTTCGATTTGGATTTCCGATTTTAGTATAGAGATTGTGAAGCAGGGATTGTGTGTATCGGCGTAGTGCTAATTTCAGTGCACTCTGTTCCGAAAGAGTTCCCTGCAATATCCAATCTCCAGGGGAAGGTGGGCAGTTGTGATTCATCTCCCATTGATTTTTCAACAATCATCTTCCCTACATCACATCACATTTCGAAACCTGATTGATTTTGATGATCGCGAGTTCTGGATCTACTGTGGATCCGGTCTCTATGCGGTTGGATTTCTCGTGAACTTTTAACTAATTTCTTTCGGCGATTCTGTTTTGATTCTTTGAGCATTTTTAGGGTTCAAAATAATGAAATGTTCTTACTGTATTTTTGGATTAAGCATTGTTCTTCTGATGAGCCTTTCAATATGACGAAGAACGATCGCTTTAACGAACAATGAGATCTGACATTGATCTTTCACTCAGGTTGATTTTCACTTCACGATTAACTATTGTTCTTGTTTCCATATTTTTGTCTATTGATCGGCTTGTTCCGTACCAGTCCATGATGGTCATCTGATAAATTTCAGATCGTAAGTCAATTACTGCATCGACCTGATTTAGTTAGATCCTTAATGAACTGTGAATAGAACTGCTCAATTTTGGGTGACAAAGGGATTAGTGAAAGCAAACAATATTTGATTTTCAGTTATGGAAGACGAATTTTGTTCTTTGTTCCTTGTTTCACCCACAAGTTGAAATTTATTTTTGGAAAATACGATGTTCGTTCATACAATGAGTAATAAAATACCAGTTATTCTCATTCCAATCCCATGATCGATCTCTTGAAGTGAGTATATTACAATCTGAAAAAGTCGATTACTTAATATATTAAAACTATAAATTTTGTTATACAGAAATTATAAATATTTTAGACTATTTGGGTAATGGCAACTTGTTAAGTTTACCAGGGTTTAGAACTGCGTGAAAAAGATAGAACAAATGGGTGAATCCTTCGAGATGGAATGATGGGATTTAACTCCATTAATAAGGATTGAATTGAAATCAAACCGCAGATTCAAACTTTTAAATTTGTTGGACCAAATTTTAGAATCAGTTATTAAATTTAATATGTGTTCATATCATTTAGACTAATTTTGTTTAAAACTTTTTTAAAGTATCATATTGTTTAAAAAGATGATAAATATTTATACTTTATTTTAATTTTTTTTAATAAATTTTAAAATTAGTTTATTTTTTCCAATTCTTGGAATCGTGTAACATCCCAACTGGTTTTGTTGTGAGGGTCCTTTAGAAATTTCTAGTTTACTTGCTTGTGATTGTTCTCATTTATTCTCCTAATTTCGTCCAAACTTATTTCTCAATATATTTATATATTCATATATTATATTTTTATGAGTACATTTTAAAACTTATTAGAGGACAAACCTAGTGAAATGAAACTTCTTAAGAGACGATTTCATTTTCACACGTTAAAAAAAAAAATTTCCGTTAAACTTAAAAAAAAAACGTAATATTAAAGTTTCTCGTTTCTAGAATAACCCCATTTCTATATTTATAATATTTTTTAAAGTATACTATATTTTTAAAGTGTTAGCTTCTAATATATATATAAAGGTGTTGCCTGTTCTTTATTTTTTTTAAAAATAATATATTCTATTATCTTTATGTCAAAAAGGTTTCATGTTCTAATTGCGGTGAATTTTGTCTCTAAAACATGTATTTTTTTTTGGGAATAAAACATGTATTCTATATTTCTATATTTAAAATGTCGTATGTTCTATATTTTTAAAAAGTATTGCATTACTAAATGTCATGTATTACTTTTCTAAAAAAAAAAAAGTCATGTATTACTTCTCAAACAAATGTCATGTATTCGATAAATTAAAAAAAATTTCTATTATTTCAAGTGTCATATATTCTATATTTTAAAAAGAAGTTTTGGGTATATTCTATATTTTAAAAAGAAGTTTTGGGTATTTTAGATTTTCCAAAACTTCCTAACTTCAAAAGTTTGCATATTCTCGAATTCGAAAATTTTTAATTTCAAAGTGTCATGATGTATTTTTTTAAAAACCGACATTATATATTTTCAAAAGAAAATGGCGCATAATCTATATTTTGTAAAGTTCTCCCCATTCTATAAATTAAGAAAGGTTCCCTATTATATATTTTTTAATTAGTGTTTCAATATTTAAAATGGTTGCATATATCAAAGTTTCAAAATCGGTACATTCTTTATTTTCGAGAAGTGTTGGGTATTCTAAGTATTATATTTCGAGAGTTCAACAAATGTTATAGTGATATCGAATTTTAGATGAAAGGTAATAGGTTATCCACTTATATTAAAAAAAGTATTTCATATTCTATATTTCGAAAAGTGTCGTTCATAAGTGAGGGTGAAAATCTCCACTCACTTTTTGTATATTCCACCTCTTTTAAATCGACCCTAAATTTTAAGGGATCTACATAATTAATACTTTCTGTTATAAAAAAAAATTCAGCTAATACTCTTATACCACCACACCAATTAAGGTTATTTCTACATAGTTAATACTTTCTGTTATAGAAAAAATTTAAAATACCCACCGCATTATTTGTAATTTCATCGATTACCCATGGACCAATATTTGTTTTATATCTAAATGTAGCATATAAATAAAATTTTATTTAAACATTTATTAATAAATGAATGCATACATTTATTTCCTTCAGAAAAAAAGCAGGCATATATTTATTTTTAAGATAAAATAAATGAGAAAAAAATATTATAGAACAAAAATAATGACGGACAAAATTGTCAAAACCTCATTATGGAAATCTTAAAAATATGTGCTTGCCTTTACTACCTGCCTCCTTGAACTACTTAACAAAGTATTCCCAAGCTGGAGAGGAGAGAAATTGAATTTCAAGGCTTTCTACCAATGACCGGAGAAAGAGTTATCCAACATTCCTATCAAACAAATATGGAATATGAATGCCCATCTCATATTCTCATGAAACAAACGACCCTAAAGCTTTATTCCATAAAATTATGTTTTTAGTTTTTTAGCCAACATAATTAAGGTAAAAAACTAGTTACAATTTTTTTAGTATATAACTTTATAAAATTAGAGCTTTTATTTCCAATGAGGTCTTTTCTTGCTAAGATGCTGATTGGCTAGAGAATATTTTCTTTATTTTTAGGAAGAGATATTTAAAATGTTATAGGCATGATTTTTTAAAACATGAAAACTATTAACAAAAAACTCATTACCCAAATATGCGCTAGAGACGCAAAATCAAAGAAAGAGCAAAAGAAGAAAGATTGAACAAAATCTCCTTGCTCATCTCATGTTAGGATAAGAATAACACATGATTTTCTCAAAAACATAATTGCAATTTGTCTCCCAAGACTAAGGCCAAGGTTAGCAAAATTTCTGCTGTCCCCACCTACCAATCTTATGTGCATCCTATTTTCCTTGCACCTACCATGACACCATGTGTTTTTGGAGACAAGATTTTTGACCAAAGATTCTTTCCCTTCCAAATAAGATATGGAAGAAAGATAGTGACCCCTCTTCTTATGTGGATGGATCATCCCCTTTTTTGAGCTTATCCTTAACTTTTCAAATCCTTTGGAAAGGTCAAGCAATTCATACCATAACGCAAGATAATGTAGAATCTTAAGATAAGGAATTCAATCAAATGAAAAGTAGAGGACAAAATTTATTTCAATTGGCCAAAAAGTTTGAATTTTTTTTAGTGTTACCATCAAATGCATGGAGTTTTAGTGCTTCCAAGGTCAGTGGTTGACATTTCTTTTATAAGGGTTTATCCTTTCATTCTTCAGCCATATTTTTTCTTGGTTGTTTGGAAACCACATGCCTCTACATGTGAGCACTGCAATTTCCCTTCCATTTCCTTTTAAAAAAATATAGGCAACCACTCTTGGAATTTTCTTTTTCTTTGTACAATTGGATGCCTATAAATGGTCCACAAGAAATGTCAGAGACTCAAGGTTGTTGTTTATGTTAAACCATCTTATATAAATACATAGAAAGCTCAGGCCACCACAGCAAATTCTGGCCTTGTCAAATTCTGGTTTTTCTTCCTGCTTGTTTTATTCTTGTTCTTCATCTTCTTCTTGAATATGGGTGGAATACAGAGACAAACGCTTCGCGAATCACGTTCGGTTGCGGTATGCCAAGAGTTCCATGAAAATCTGGAAGAGCATTGGGTGAGCAAGAGGAGTGATCACTACAACGTTGCTTCTTCTACATCTTCATTTGAAGATTCATCAGTTTCCAGTGGATCTCTATCTTCGATAGAAGATGCGTGTTCATCGACTTCGAACACTTCTTCTGAATCTAGTGGACCATTGGAGGATTTCACAGAACTTCTTGCTCAACTTCCTATCAAGTAAGTGTTGATGGATCTAAACTTGTAATTCATAGACTAAACTTTACCCTATTCAAGCTAGGCCTTAACCCGACCGTACTGCAGAATTACGTACCCAAATCTACGAGTTACGCCTGTTCTAAATTTCTAATAGCAGTTACTTGTATTTGGCAGGAGAGGACTATCCATGTTCTATCAGGGAAAGTCTCAATCTTTTACATCTCTATCAAGTGTAAAGAGCATAGAAGACCTTCCAAAGAAGGAGAATCCTTACAGCAGGAGATTGAATGGATATAAGAGCTATGCAGGTGGCTTAGACACTCACAAATCTTCCTATACTCTTCCAAAGGCTCCCACTTTTAAGAAGGCCTCAAGAAGTTCTGTGTCTTTTGTCCAAGTTAGGAGAGGCAGTACTACTTTGGCTCCTTCCATTCCTGTATATGATGAGAGTTTTTGATCCCTAAGCAAGCACCTTTCAAGAAAATTGACCAATTTTTCTTTTATAACTTTTGCTTGTACAGTAGGAATGCAAATCAAAATTATATTGTTCCATCAGAGTTTCTGATGAAGATTCCCTCTTCATTCAATTATTTTAGAATCCCACGTCTTATTTGTCTTTCAAAACACCAAAYACAAGATGTTTGATCTAAACTATTATTCACTTCAGATGTTTGATCCAAAAAGAGGAATGGATAATAATAACACCACTAAACTCTGTATCTCTCTATCAGTTAAGAGAGAAATTCATCTAAATGACTGTCAGTTATGAAGTCTGGAATTTTAAGAGTACTAGTGGAACAAAAGGAAAAATATGAACAGAGGATGCTGTTCCAATGCTAAGTGATGTTAGAAAGTAGAAGAGCATGATATGACAATGAAGTTTTATGGAGAAACGATACGGTTTCGAATTCTGGATGATCTTCTCACTGGAGTTGGGATCGACTTCACTTCTTCGTCTCCTCTCACCTACAGATGAAAAATCAGCAGCCTTAGACCAATTATACAGAACATTCCCAAAATACTTATAGTCCACTAAACGATAGTTTAGAATTTATACTCACCTCTTTTTTGACAGCTTTCTTCTTAGTGATGGTGCTTCCATAGGATGGGGAACTCGTGGTAGAGAATTCTGACAAAGCTTCCTCGGGTCCGGAATTCATATTCTTGCTCACTGGTTTCTGTTCAACAGAAGCATGAAAACTACTGTCCTCTGCCTCAATCATCCTGTTCTTCAAGCCACTTCTGTTCTTAAGAGAGTTGCTCATACCTCCAACTACGATCTCACCAAGAAACTGAACTGTTGGAGCTTCATGGTGGTATAATTCTTTAGAACTCTCCACTTCATCTCTTGAATGGATAGAAGATGACAGCATTTTGAAGGAATCAACATTCCCAATATGCTCATGGTTTGATTTGTCAACAACACAAGTAGGCTTAATCGTTGAAGGTGAACGCGAAGGCGAAGGCGGCTCCCTTGTAATAATTTTCTCAGCTTCTACAACTGGAGACTGCAACAAAGATGGCGTTACACTTGCAGAAATGGTGGGTACTTTCTTGTCAACTTTCTTCTTCTTAAATTGGAAAGACAAGACCAGACAAGTTAAGATTGCAGACGATACTGAAAGTCCAAGTATAACCTTAAGCACAGACTCAGTTTCAGTGTGCATAAGTTCAACAAGTTCAGACTTCAGTTTCTCCAAGTCTTCAACAAAACTGGATATGACATTGGCTGTTCTCTCCCAAATGGTGCTTTTACTTGCCTCGCGCACAGAACTCTCGGCTTCCCCCTTGTTGCTCTCAACCATTTCCCAATCTCCAACTTCTTCCATTTCAAAAACCTCCTCCTGTTTGGGAGTGTACTCATTTCCAACAGCAACTAAAATGTCAGACAACAAGTTGTCTTGGTCAAATCCATTAAGAATGGATGGCTTTGAAGCTTGAATAGATTCGTCGTTTTCTTTTCTTTTTTCTTGATTACCATCATCTTCAACTATTAGCTCTGAGAATTCAACTTCATTTTCTTCACCTTCAGTCATCTCGTCGGCCATAGTTCCCCCAGGCCCAGCTTGAGATTTCTCTACAACTTCTTCTACTTGTTCAGGATCTTCTACTTTTTCCAAATTTCCATATTCATTCTCACCATTTAACATCTCAGTTTCTTCCAAAAAACCAACATTTTTCGCATCTTCCTGATGAATAAATTGGCCTACACCTTCCGGATTCATGTTTGAAGTAGCCTCCGTTACTTCTTCATCCCAAAGATTACTTCCTTTTGCACTCAGGGTTTCTATTACTAAGTTGGAGCCACCAAATTCATCAGTGTGATTCAAAATTGGGCAAAACCCAGATCTGAAAATCCTCGAAACTTCAAAGGAAGGTGTGGGCGTGTTCATGGAAGTGATATACAAGGTTGACAAAACCAAACCTGCGATAGTGAGCAAGAATTTAAGTAAACCTTTCACAGTCCCATCTCCCTCGCCTTCATCTTCAATTTCTTCATCAATTTCGCAGCATTCCCCCTCAATATCCTCCATCTTTCCCTTTCCAGTTTCTTCTTCAGAAGATGGAGTGGGAGAAACCAAGATTTCTGCTGCTCCATCGTTTTGTTGACGAAAAAAGATCTCCCGTCGTCTACTTGGTTTGTATCTTAGAAATTTAGGTCTGGGAGAGAGATAATTTGTTAACGGATCATACGCCGCCACAGAATTCTTCTCATCGCCGTCAAAATCCGAAACTCGAGATGATAACAATCTGGTCTGAGACATAGAATTACCTCGACTACCAGAATCCACTTGACAAAAAGAGGGATCGAATTTTGCAATTTCCGACAAAGGGTTATCGCCGGATTTCAAATCCATGGCCTTATTTCGTTCAGTTAAGACCTTCTTCGCACTCTTTTCCGTCTCCCCTGATTTCCTTGGGTCCAAATTGACGATCGATGGAGGATAATTTTGATTGTTTTCATCTACAAGAAAGAAATGAAAACAATTTCCTTAAACGACAAATCGGAACCGATTTAGATCTGAGCATAGAAAAGAAAATTCAAGAAAATCGTGAGGTTTCATTTTCCCTCGTTTTCTTAGCAATTAGGGGAAGAGACTCACCCGACTTTGAGAACATTGTAGATGCAGAGAGCTTGCTATCCATTTCAATGGAGTAAAATTGCAGTTGAATCTGTGACTGAAGGCGCGGAAATTTGGAAGCGAAGGAACGAGACGAGCAGATATGACCGTTGGAATTTCGGATTTGTTTGATTGTTAAAAGCCACTTGAAATTTGAAAGGTTTTCCGAACGTTGCAAGTGCCAGTTGTCACGAGTTTAGCGCGTTCATGGGAATCTCCACAGTTGGGCTTGAATAACGTGGAAATTCGTGGGCCCGCTTAGATTAAAATTTGGGCCCAAGCCCAAGACAATTGAAAAATGCATGTCCCTACCCATAAATTGGAAAAATAGGAAGAATCTCAACAAAAAAACAAAAAAAGAATATATATTATATCATATATATTTATTTCGATATCATATTTTCTTAAAAACAAGTATTGGACCTAAGAGTTGATTATATAGTTATAGCATTAAAAAGAGTACTATACAGCTTTAGAATTATACTTCGGAATCATATTTGTTAAAAAAACTAACATTTACCTGTATCAATGGTTCCTATTATATTTTATAGATCATTTTACAAAATTTTGATTTTTTGAAATCTTAAAAGAAAAAGTTTATATAGTATCGAACCATTAGATCATCTATTTAACCTCTAGTATTTACCCTAATGCCTCTATTTATAGAGTTTTCTAGTGGAAACAGCTATTTTGCTTCATGGCCGAATCCATTGGCAATGAGAGTAATCATGCATATTATAAACTATTGTAAAGTCTATTTACTTTTCAGTGTGGGATCATTAACATGCCCCTCAAGATTGTGGTTTTTTTTTACTTATCGATCTTGATCGGATCATGGTAATTTGAGTTTCGAACTCAGACCAAATTACCATCTAATGAGTTTTTGAACTAAACTGAGTATGGGTCTAATTCTCATATAATATAATTAAACCAATTAAATGTGGTCTAATGAAAAGACATGTGATATTTGAAAATTGTCATTTTGTCAGGTGCGTTTATGATTGGCCTAACATTTATAATTGTGCGTAATGTTTAAAAAGAAAAAAGATTAATGCCTTTCGATTATTTCATTTTAAATTCATTAAATCGAAGCAAAAAAAAAAATAGTATTGGGCCAGTATCTATATTTCAAATATTTTTAAAAACTGCAACAAAATTAATTTTGAAGAAACTTTGGATTTAATGGATTCGGTTGAGGAAAAAACAAATCTAGTGCTGGATTGTGAAAGGCTCGTGATTTCTGTTTACGGATGTGATGATTCAAATCAGTGTTCAGCGAAATTTGAATCGGTCAAAATAATGATTATTCAAAATACCCAAATTACCCTTGTCGCACTCACGTGATTTAACCTCCTAAAGGCACGTGCGTCAGATAATGCCACGCCTAGTCTCCAAAAGCACAGAAACCCATCAAACTCCTACTAATCATTTTTCCTCTCTTAATCATTTACTCTCTTATTATGATGTCCAATTACTTAAATAATTTACTCCACTTTTTTTCTTTTATTTCTTTTGGGGCAATTTTTCTATATATATTTTTTAATTTAAGCCCTACTATTTCAAAAGTTTTTCAGTTTAGTCATTTATCATTAAGAAATATTAATATCCACTAATAGTAAATTTACATGGTGCAATGTTTATTAAATTGGTATAAACTTTGAAGAAAAAGAGTTGTCTAAAAGAAGAAAATTCAAAATTTTTAAAATTTGAGGAGAAATAAATTTTTTACATGATTTTTTAACCCTTCTCAATTTCTGTCAATTCATTGAGTATTATATCATATAAGTTTATCATTAGTCAATTTTTACACTAATTAGCAATGAGGGAATAAATTATAAAATATATTAAAATAGAACACTGAATTGAAACTTTTCAAACAATAGGGACTAAATTGTAAATAGTACTCAAATATTAGAGACTACATCATATATTTAAACGTTGTTTTTTTTAAGAATTAAATAAGTTCAAGTAGATAATTAAATATTTAAGAATATTTATATTTGTTTCCTGGAAAATATTTGATAAAAAAAATCAACATAAATATCATTTTTTTATCAGGTGTATAATAATGTATGAACAAGGGTAAAAGATAACACCTATGAATAGAAACAAAAAATTAATTAATTTTCTTAATAATATATGTACAAGTTGAGTTTTTTTTTCCGAAATGTTACTAGATGTGTGGTTTTTGAATTGAAATTAAAAGAAAAAATAATAATCAAATTAAAGTTTTTAGTTGTGTTTCTACTCGATGTGAAGTAAAACTTTATGAGAGAAAAAGAAAGATTGAGAAAATTATAAAATAATTAATGCATTTACGTGTGAAATAGAAACAAAAAATAATGTCAAAACGAGCATAGCTCAACGGTAATTGACATATACCTCCCACCAAAAGTATATGAGTTTGAATTCCCTCCTCGACATGAACTAAAAAAAAAGAAACAAAAAATAATTGTACAATAATGAAATTAGGGCTGTTGGAGAGGTAGAACGTATGAGAGAAAGATAGTAGTTTTATTACAAATAAATCTAACAATGAATAATAAGCCGACCAATTCTTAAATGGGATTGAAGCCAATATCAAAGGCAACTAATTTGGTGGGAAATAATGAATTTCAAATTTCTCCCACTCCCTAGTGTCGTTTACCTCCCATTTTTCTTTTGTAGAACATAATTCTTACTTCTTCTTTTCTTTTTGATTTAATATTTTAAGTTTGAGATTCGGCTTTTTTGTTGTAAATTAGTTTTCTAATCGAAGTCTAGATTGTTGAAGCTTTCAGCTAGCTCATTCCCTTCATAATGATAGACTATGAGTATTGACCATAAATGACTGATGATCGATCAATTAATTTCGATGTCTCTTTCCTCATGGAAGAATAATTGGTAGTCTTGACACACAAAAAAAAAAAGATTCTAGCACGAAGAGACGTTGTCGAGATTGTAGTCCCTGAAATCCAATGAAATGCAATTAACGACCCCTCAAAATTGGAAGAAATTTTGGTATAGAAGGAATTAAGTTGGATAATTTGGAAGTAGTGATAGCTACTTCAATTCCTTTGACTTAAGTCGTTAGTCATGTGAGTTATTTAAATCCAAAATTTCTAAGAAACTATATGTTGTATCATACATTAAAATTTATTAATTTTAAATTAGTGTAAATCTAAATATATATGACACAAATTCCAAATTTTCAACCTTCAATGGCAAAACAATCAAAATTTTCGCATTCCCTTATTTGATAAAACAAGTGATTTTTTTAAACGTTGAATATCACATGAATACACAAAAGCATAGCCTATCAATATGAGCTCAATGATAAATCACGTATTATCATCCATAACATCGATGCATTTGAACTAAAACAAAACAAATTTATGACAAAGACTAATACTTGAAATGTTAAAAAAAAAAATCTTAAAATAATTCCATTAAATAGTACTAAAGTTAACGCTTATTCCTAGGAGGATTTCAATACTTTTCTTCATATAATTTCTTAATTTCAAGAATCAAACAAATTTAGAGAGGAAGGCGAGACAAGAATACATCAT